TTTTCAGCAATCAATAGCTGATCATTCTATGCTCATTTTCAAAACCAAGATGACATACATTGTTGCACTTATTTATGTTAATGATGCTCTTCTTACATGGAACGACGCTTGCAAAATAAAAAAGTTTAAAGACAACCTACATAGATAATTCAATATCAAAGACTTAGGCCCATTTACATACTTTTTGGGTATCAAAGTCGCTAGATCCCCATAAGGATTTGTGATCAGTAAAAGGAAGTACACTCTAGATATTCTTGAAGATTGTCATATTTAAGATTTTCGTCCTAGTGCTTTTCCTATGGAACAAAATCTCCAACTAAAAAAGGAAGATGCTAGTCCAGAATTAGAACCTTCAAAATATAGACGACTTATTGGAAGACTCCTTTATCTCACAATGACTCGTCCTTATATATCTTTTAGTTTCAATTAGTTAAGTCAATTCTTGAGTAAACTGAGAATGACTCACAAGGATGTAGCTTTCATAGTTCATTGTTACTTAAAGGCCACTTTAGGACCAGGTTTATTTTTTTTCCATCTGAAGGCAGTTTGGATTTGATAGCCTATTGTGATGCAAGTTGGCTCAGCTATCAATATACACGAAGGTCTTGTACATGTTATTTTATAACCATTGGTGGATCTCCTATCTCTTGTAGAACGAAAAAGCAGAGTGTTGTTGCTAGGTCTTCTACAGAGGCAGGATATTGAGCTATGCCAAGCACTATTTATGAGGTATTATGGCTTCAGTGGTTACTTTGGAACCTAGATGTTGCTCAAAAGGGAGCTACTCTGTTACGTGCGACAACGAAGCAACTTGTCATATTGCATCTAATCCTGTCTATCATGAACATACAAAGCATATTGAAATGGACTGATATTTCGTTCAACCTGCAAACATATTTACTAAAGCTCTTGGTGCAAATCGTTTCAAGTATCTCCATGGCAAGTTGGGTGTTCATGATCTTTAAATTTCAACTTGAGAAGGAGTGCTAAAGTTATCCTAATTAGCTAGCGGTTATCTTAGTTTTATTAGAGTATCTTATTAATAAGTTTGCCTAGTTTATCTAGGTTTCTTTTTTCCCTAGTTTATATATATATATATATATATATATATATATATATATATATATATATATATGGGAAAGTTCATGCGAAAATGCAAATAATTTGCGAAAACGCAAAAACAAGAAATACCTATGAGATTGTGTCACCTCCACATTATCTTTTTGGATAATAATTCATTCAAACTTTGATATACATGATGATAATCGATAATAGATGAGAAATTGTGTCATATTAGCAAAGTATGATTTTTGACTTTTTTATTATGAAAACGTGAATTTAAAAGTGATTAAACACGTGAAAAAAAAAGTAATTATTAAAAACGTTTTTAAATCTATATTATCATAACACAATCCAATGTAAACTTATTATCTTTAATTTATTGCAAATAATTTTTTTTATAGTACATGAGTTTAATTTTTATAAGATAAAATCTGTTTTCGCGTTTTCGCAAGATATTTATGTTTTCGCGTGAACCTACTTCTATATATATATATATATATATATATATATATATATATATATATATATATATATATATATATATATATATATATATATATATATATATATATATTATGTATTGTTCCTCCGAGATTAATTAATGAGAATATAAATTTCAATTTACTGTTAAATTTGTCAATCATTAAATAATTTTGATCAAAACCAAGGAAAATTATTTTGAAAAATAAACCAATAATGATTTTTGGAAAATTTTCATTAAAAACGGGTCGAATAAACTCCCCCGAAAGGACCCAAATTAGTCGGAATCAACAATATTTGTTCATATTTACCGTATCGTGTTGAGTTTTGAAAAAGAATGCCATACAACAATGTTGAGGTAGAGTTTAGATATTTTTTTGGTCATGCTGATTTTTTCCTATCCAGTAACATGGTCGGATGTGAAAATTGCTGGTAGCAACCTCTTTTAAAAATGATTTTTAGGTAGTTTTGAACATACATTTTACTTATTAGAGGATGATTTTAGGGCACTTCTTTGGAAGATTTCATTGATTTTAACTCAACAATATTCCTTTCTTTTGATTGTAAGTATATTTTAACCTTTGGTTGTTAGATTACTTGTTGATTTTAGTCGTGATATGTGGCTAAATCACAATAGTTTCAACATTAGGGTTTATCTTTGGTAAGTACTTATATAAAGTGATTATCTTTGATCTAATGTATTTGTATTGTTTGCTTAATTTATCTTAAACACCGTAGTCCAACATTTGTGAGGTTGGTGGGTCTCTCTCTCTCTCTCTCTCTCTCTCTATATATATATATATATATATATATATATATATATATATATATATATATATATATATATATACATATATATATATATATATATATATATATATATATATATATATATATCACATCCTCCCTTGTAACTAGATGTCCAACTCACTAAAAAACTATCGAATCCTAAAATCAGCATCAAACATCTTACTATAAATAGTAATTGTGATATTTAAATCACTTGGGTTGTGGTGACTTGGTAAGACACGTGGAAGATATGACGAATAACTTATTGATCTATGTTCAAATCTAGGGATATCAACGGGGGCAACCGGGAAGGGGTTGCATCCCCTGCTCCCGCCCCAAAAATTCCTCCATTCCCCCGCCCCCGCCTACGCCCACGAATTCTCATTATTACCCTTGCCCCCGTCCCCGATTGATTTTGGGCTACTTTCATTGAGCTAAAAGAAGTTGTTGTTTGGGATAAAATAAACTATTTTTTAGGTAACAAATAGTTGTTTATAACAGAATTTTACATGTTACAAACAACTTAAAACATGTTTTTTTTATGAAGTTTGGTATGTCAAAATCATGCTATTGTTTATTATATATATATATATATATATATATATATATATATATATATATATATATATATATATATATCATTTATTAATAGGGCCATCAAGGGGGTTTCAGGACGGGACTGCCCAACCCCGAAATTAAAACGTTGCACCCGTTCCAGCTCCCACCCCCAATTTGTATTTAAACATATACCCCCATACGGGATGGGAGCACCATGGGAACGTGGTCACATGGTATTTTTTAACATCTCTATTCAAATCATGACACTACTCAGCCCTTGTGGTCATGATGGTTCGTCTGTAGTGATTTCAGAGCTTGAGACAAAGTTTTATGTTTGCAACGGAAGATTAGCCGGTACGCGAAAGTTAGTCCAAAACCATCGTTAAGGAAGTTTCATTTCCAAAAACTTATGTTATTTAAGCATTTTAACAAATTTAATAGTAGAATATATGAAAAAACCTTGATAATTTTTTTAGCAAAATGAAAACTTTGTTACCTTTTTAATCATATTCCTTTTAGTTTTATTTCGTTACTAGCTTTTTCCTGCATATCAAATCAAATATAATGAATCGATGATTCATTTGTTAAGGAAAGAAAATTACAAATGTAGTTTGATTGTTTTCCATAAAAAAAAAAATCAAATTAAATTGACTCCTATAGCCATCAAAATCATAGGTTTATCATCATGAGTTACGATTTCGTCAGTTAGACTACGATCTTATCAAAAGTATAAGGTTTATTATTATTATTATTATTATTATTTTTTTTTTTTTTTGTTAAATTTTATCGTTTTGGCATTATGAAATTGCATATGGCATTTAGGCATCTATAATTTCCTCTATCTTAGTTGTAATTCCCTCATTCTTATCCGTGACTTTGTCTCCCCAAATGAGATTATATAATGTTTAATGCATAAGAGTATATAGTAAACACTTGTACAATCTCATTATATAAAAATAGGATTTTTTTTTCAAACATTAAATACTATTGCTCATCGGTTGGATCAATGTTTTAAAAACCGGTTTGAACCAGTCGATCGAACCGGTTGGATCGGAAATTGGAAAAGAGAGTTGTTCAAATAGCATTAGTTTTATGTTTATTTCTGAACTGGAATGAATCACTCGGTTTTTACCAATGTTTTAAAATCGGTTTTTTAGTTGAACGAGTATGTAGACCGATTCCCGGTTCAACCAATTTCCATAATTTTCATATTTATCTATATTTTCCTACACACATAGACATCAACATGTTTAAACATGAAATATACATAAATACAAGTTGTAGATAAATCCAAATATATTAAAAAACATATAACCATAAATTTTACATTAATCACGTACATCAAAAAGAAAATAAAATATAATATAGAAACAAAATATAGTTTTATATGAATATAATGACATTAAAAACTTTATAACATTTACCATGTATTTTTATTCAAATAAACTTAGATGTGAAAAAACACTAAAATTTGTTATGCAAATGATTTATTTTCATTTGTTTTTATTTAATTTAACTGGTTCAACTGAATTTTTATAAAAACCGACCGATTTATTCAAGTTCAAAAATAAACATAAAATCGGTATTAATTAAACTTGTGGATATCTACATATGTGCAGAGAAATAGAGAAAAGAAAATGAAAATTATAGAAACCGGTTGAATTAATATTCAAACCGATTGAACCGAAAATTAATCTCCATATCAATCAAATTAAAAACATCAATTTTTAAAACATTGGTTGAACTCATGGTAAAACGTCCATAAGCCAAATCACAACCCATTAAGTGTTACTTCTTTCATAGGTTATTTGGCTTATTTCTTAATGCTTTTGTTATTGTTTAAAAAGCAATTATATGGTTATACTAAATTATATATATTTTTTCTTTTAATTCCTCCATTGTTCACTCAATTGTTTGGTTTGTTCGATTCCATTGTCATATATTGCACACCAAAAAATACGAAACAAAAATTAATTAATTTTTTTGCAAATTAATATATAAGCATGTACGAAATTTGTAATTTGGTGGAAAAATATTATTAATTTATTACCCGAACCCAAACCAACCCGCCACAAAATCTTACTAGAAAAAACCTGTGAAAACTCTCTGTTTCACACAAATCCACCATTGACACGAACGATCTGACCGTTTATCCACTCACCGGCGTCACTCGTTAAGAACCCAACCAACGGAGCAACATCCTCCGGCAACCCCAGTCTACCCAAAGGGTTCTGATCAATTACCATATTCACCATCGCCTCAGTTTTTCCTTCGAAAAACAGATCAGTCGCGATAGGCCCCAGAGCTACACAGTTCGCCGTGATCCTCGTTCCCTTCAGTTCCTTCGCCAGAATCTTCACCATAGCCTCTACTGTAGCTTTAGACGCTGCATACGGGCCGTACCCCGGTCTCAAAGATACCACCAGTGATGTCGTCAGACAGATAATCCTCCCTCCGCCGCCTTGCTTCAACCTGTTCGCCGCCTCCTTACAACATAAATAAGCGCCTCTCGTGTTCACGGCAAACGTCCTATCGAATTCGTCGAGGGAGGAGTTGGGGATCGAAGAATAGGAGGAGTCAATAACCCCGACGGCGTTGACGAGGATATATAGTGGGGAATCGAAGGCGGATTCAGCTACATCAAAGAGGGCTTTTACTTGAATCGGATCTGATACGTCGGCTTTGAAAGAAACAGCTTGTGGGGATTCAGATTGAGATTTGGAATTAATTTCCGAAACGACTAGATCCACTTTAGAGGAATTAGAAGTGTAATTGACGACGAGCTTTGCTCCAAGGGATGCTAGGTGGAGGGAGATGGCTTTGCCGATACCGCGAGAGCCGTCGGTGACGATTGCAACCCGGTCATGCAGTTGGAGGGGCTGAGTTTGGGTGGTTTCCGGTGATGAGACTGTGGTGATTTTGCTAGCCATAGGTGTGGTTGAGCCTTGAAGTGTGAGTGGAGAATTGGAAGTTATAACTATTCATTTTAAATAGAAGCACCGGCGCAATTGCTGATTACATCACCGGGATAAAAAGCCTCACTGCTGACGTCAGTTTCATGAATGAATAACTGTGACTCGTCTTGGGCGACATGACTAAACTTGATTTTTAATTGTACCACATCTCCTGTGTTATTTTAGAACTAAATCGTTGTATTTTTTTTGTTAATTTAGGAAGAATGTATTTATTTATTTAAGTGCCATAGGGCTAGTTTTCAAGTCATCATTCTAAAAATCAAGGCAATGAGGCTAGTTTCTAGGTCACCGTTCGAGAAATCAAGGCAACAATGCAAGTTTTCAGGTTGTCATTCGAGAAATCAAGGCAACGATGCGAGTTTTCAGGTCTTCGTTCGAGAAATCAAGGCAATGATGCAAGTTTTCAGGTCTTCTTTCGAGAAATCAAGGCAACAGGGCTAGTTTTCAGGCCTTCGTTCGAGAAATTAAGACAACAATGCGAGTTTTCAGGTCTTCGTTCGAGAAATCAAGGCAACGATGCAAGTTTTCAGGTCTTCTTTCGAGAAATCAAGGCAACAGGGCTAATTTTTAGGCCTTCGTTCGAGAAATCAAGGCAACGATGCGAGTTTTCAGGTCATCATTCGAGAAATTTAGACAACAGGGTTAGTTTTTAGGTCATCATTCGAGAAATCATCCATTTTCTCTTGCCACCTAGGATCCGTATCATTGTTTATCATCTTTTTTTTTTATCAAGAAGTGACGACATCCATCTTAATATTTCAATTTAAGTAACATTAAATTTGAAAGAGAGAGAGAGAGAGAGAAAGAGAGAGATAATAAGTTATTGAAAGTTATTGTTTAATTACATCCCAAATTGAATCCTAAATGAATTCACTTTTCACAAGAAAATAATCAACATTAGTCTTCAAAAAGTCAATATCTAGTCATTATTTTTAATTGTCAAAAAAGTCAATATCTACTCATCTTTTTAATTGCGGGTCCATTATCACCAGGTTAAGATAAAAAAAAACACTCAAATTACAGAAAGAAAAAAAATTATTAACCAACATATTAACCATAGTATTTATTTTTCCAAAAAAAAATTATAAGTTATTAGATTATAAATATAATATAGCCCAATCAACAACCATCAATAACCAACAACACTTCAAATCATACACATTCAAAGAAAATCTATGAAACTCCAAAGCTCGAATATAAATAAAATAAAGAAAGTACAAAGCTATAACTTACAACAACTATAAAGTACATTGTTATTTCTTGTAATTAGCTAAACAAGTGGTTAATTTGAAAGTAAAATCTACTCTAATAAATGAAGGTTTGTTTTGCCACTTGTCATACTCTCATTCAATTTACCAAATGTTATTTTGTGGTTATTTTGAATTAATTTTTTTCACTTATTATTTTATGAGTTTTTCTATTTTATTAAATTACACATAATATTTTAATGTAATAACTACAATAAATTGTAGTAATAAATAGATAATCAATTTTATTAATCAACTTACCTTTTAATTTCAAAATTCTCAAAATTAAAGCTCATTAGTTTCTTTTATTTATTTATTTAAATTATTTGTTTAAATTTAAAAGATAAAAAACATTTCCATTATAATAATTCATTATTTTTCTTATTTTCTTATAAATTCAAAGTTTTCAAATATTTTGACATATATATATATATATATATATATATATATATATATATATATTAAATTAATCAATGTAATATATGTGTCTCATAACTAGTGGTGTAATAAACAATTGAATGAGAGTATGTTGTTATTTCGTGCAATAATAACCTTATTATTTCTCGATAAATATTTTTTTATTGCATCTGTTGTGTATAAAAGACATAAGGTAAAAATGGTCATTTCAATAAAATATACAACAAGGCAGCTAAATTTGAAGATGCACGAGACCAAAAACAAAATGAAAGAATGGAGTGAAGGGTATGTATATACCTTTCTAACTTGTCCTCTTTATTGGTCAAAAAGCCAAAACTACTACTTGGCGAGTAACCGACATCAAATATAAACAAGTATGTTGTTATTATTGACAGGTTGGTCAGACATTATACTTATATTGTTAACACCGTGAAAGACAAAAATGATCAAGCCAATGCTAAAAATACAAATACACATTAAATTTCCACTTCATGTCAAGTCTTTCAACAAAAATCCCAACATCCACGTTATAAAGTACTTTGCATGAAAGTGAGGTGCTAATTTCACATAATATCAATTTTACCTTCCTTTAAGAGTTATATAAAAGGAAATAAGTCCTTCTAAAATATGTTCCATAGACATGTTTTAATGCTATTAACAGTTTCTGCACATTATAAGTAATTCATATAAATTTTAGAAAATTGGATGCATTAGACATTGAATAAAGCAAAGCATAAATCAAAAAACTCATAGCATCATGGGATACTGACAAACTTTAAACTCATACAGTAAAAAGTAAAGATAAACAAGTATGTTGTTATTATTGACATGTTGGTCGGGCATTATACTTATATTGTTAACACCGTGAAAGACAAAAATGATCAAGTCAATGCTAAAAATACAAATACACATTAAATTTCCACTCCATGTCAAGTCTTTCAACAAAAATCCCAACATCCATGTTATAAAGTACTTTTCATGAAAGTAAGGTGCTAATTTCACATAATATCAATTTTACCTTCCTTTTAAGAGTTATATAAAAGGAAATAAGTCCTAAAATATGTTCCATAGACATATTTTAATGTTATTAACAGTTCCTATACATAAGAGGTAATTCATATAAATTTTAGAAAATTGAATGCATTAGATAATTCATATAAATCTTAGAAAACTGAATGCATTAGATACCGAATAAATGTAACATCCCAAGATTTGTCATTTATAGTCCCTGGGGATGGATGGGTGAATCCATAAGAAGCCTAAGGACTAAATTGCATTTTGGGATCAGGAGTGGTATGTTGCGCGTACATAAGGGTACGCTAAGCATATTAGGCGCGCCCTAGTACGCTGGACGTACACTTGTGTACATTGGGCATACTCATGTCAGAAGGAAACCCTAATATTTAGGGTTTGGGTGCTATATAAACATCCTTATGGCTCATTTCTCCCATCACTTTCAGCCTTCATACCCTAGAGATGTCCCAAACCCTAGAGATGTCCCAAACCCTATCGATGGATCTGAAGTTTGGGCTTAAGTGCTTAAGCCATTAAGCACTTATGAGAGTTTTGGTACAGACTCGCGTACGCCCCATGTAGAGAGTAGTACGCCCCGTGTACCGAGTTAATAGTCACAGTTTTTAGTCAACGCGAGATGGAGTACGCCCCACATACGCCCCCACGTTGGGCTTTTGCGATATGAGCTTTGAGATTGGGCCACCTTTGGGCCAGTCCGACTTGGGCCTTGCTCGACTCTCTAGATAAGAGTATTTTGGGCCAGTTTTGGTAGTGAATCGTTAAATGAGGCTTAATTAGGAAGTTGGGTCCAATTTGGAAAATTAGGCCAAAGATCGGCCTTGTACATGTGGACTTTTGGATCATGAATTTGGTATTGGGCGTTGGGCCAAATTAGAGAAAATGCAAAATGGACTACTACTTTATGTGGGGCTCTTGGTCAAGATTGATATTCCCATTTATTGACTTATTATTCGTTATTTTGGATAGTTCGGGATTTTTGGTGAGACAGTGATTCGGGAATTTAATTCTTCAGTTCAGATCGACATTGCGAGGTGATTTATCCTCACTATACCCAAGGTTCTAAGGCACCAAGGTCGTCTCTTTGAATTATTATTTGGATTAGTTGTTGTTATGATATGTTAGATCGATATCCTGGTAGATAGGATGGTTATGATTAGTGACATGTAGTTTGGTCTGACTGTCTGTATGCTGGTAGGAGATTACCTGTTATATGTGCACATGATTGATTGGCAGTTGAGGGTATTCCATTTCGAGTATGATAGGACCCTAGTATGTTGTCTTTGTAGACTGTTACTTGATTATCTAATATATGTGCACATGTTTGATTGGTTATGGGCATTCCATCCTGATGGTTGTGGGCCGAGAGTATTCCATCCCGATGATGATTCGACTCGTAGTATATGAGCATTCCAACCCAATGGTTGAGGGTCGAGAGTATTCCATCCTAAGGATGATTGGACTCGTAGTATATAGTCATTCCAAACCGATGGTTGTGGACCGATAGTATTCCATCCCGAGGATGATTGGACTCATAGTATATGGGCATTCCAACCCAATGGTTGTGGGCCTGGGGTATTCCAACCCGATGGTTGACTAGACCCATAGTATGTTGGCCTTCCAACCCGATGGTTGAGGGCCTAGAGTATTCCAACCTGATGGTTGATTGGACCCATAGTATGTTGTTTGTTATTGTATGTGTATTGTTGTGTGTATGGGTATTTTGGGAATAACTCACTAACCCTTCGAGCTTACATTTATCGATCATTATTTCAGGTACAACGGATGACTGTGGAAGGCGAATGCGTGACCGTACACTTTCTCGATTTATGATTATGATTTATGGTAACTCTTATATGAAACTATTTTGAAAACACTTTGTAATAATTAATGGTATTTTGGATATTTAAAAATCTTTAAATTTTCATGAATTTTAATGGATGTTACAATAAAACAAAGCATAAATCAAAAAACTCGTAGCATCATGGGATACTGACAAACTTTAAACTCATATAGTAAAAAGTAAAGATAAAATACGCACATACATGAACTTAAACATATATCCAACTTATAGTTTACCTTGATTGCACACATAATAGTCTCAAATTACTGAAGAATAACGGTTCAGAAGTATTACCATACTTCTATTTCTTACTCAATGGACATACCTAAGTCACAACTATTCATAAATAATTTATACAACAAATTATGCTTTACATTTTTTTACAAATTCTAAACTCATTAATGTTATATCTATAT